GGGTATTATCCCTACTTGCTATATATGAAGTTCCTGAAAAAATATTTAAAATCTTAGACATTATTGCTTACGGAAATTAAAAAATGTTTGGAAGGTGCTATTTTTTTTATTTAGTAACGGAAAGAACTTGGAGCTTAATTATCTTTATCTTTTTTCATAGCCAAACTGTATTTAGATTAATCAAATTTTTTGATCAATGTGATATTGAAGTGATCAAAATATTGATTATGTCTCGCATTGAGTTTTTTTGTACATTATTAGAAGCAGAAGTTTTCAACAAATGTCACTTCTAGCGTATTCAATTGAAAAGAAACATATTTCAACTAATAATATTTTTAATATCAAATATTTTCTGATAAATTAAAATAGAAGGATGAAAATTGTTTACTTTATAATACTTGAAGGATGTTTTCTGATAACAATGATATTTTAAGAATTTACTTTAAGTTAGGGGTATAGTTTAAGAATAATTTTAGCCAAAAACTCATAATAAATACTATCTAGAATTTAAAATTACTTGAGCAATTTAAAATATATTTCGAATCCTTTTCTCTTATAAAAAAAACTTGCTTTTCTTTATTGTTTTTTATATATATAGATATTGTAAGTAGTAGTAGTAACAATTGCTATCCAGCACATAATGTCCTTCACTTGTATTTTTTTTTTCACACATTATTATCCTTGACCTAATTCCCTACTTTTGGATAACCTTTTATCACATGTGTGATACTTTTGGTCATGAATAGTTAATGGAGTTTAGTGTAAGATATATTCCTATCAAAAATGAGTTAAATTTGTCTTAATTCCTGTCATATAATAAAGGAAAGAATAAATAATTTTTGGATAAAAAATAATCTGGAATAAAATTTAGATATCTTGTTCAATTGACATGTTTGAGATAACTAATCTCACCACTTATAACGTAGTGATGAGATAAGTTATTTCATATACACAGTTATCTCAGAATAATTAATCCTAAGATAATTAGTTCCCAATCAAACGACTCCATAATGTCGTAGAACCATTCTCTATCACTAGGTAGAGAATAGAGATGAATCACTTAACTAACTTTTAATTGTCTATTCTAATCTTCGATTTCTATACTTTCTTATCTAGGTCAAGTCCTTAGATATTTTTGAATTTTTTTTTATTCTTCAGATATTTTTGGAAAAGTTCTAGTGTGTTCATTTGCTAAATTTGAAAAGACAACTGGAAATGAACTGTGAAATAGACAGAAAAAATCACACTGGCTTTTTTTTTTTGGTATATAAAAGATGCAAACTAGTAATAACAAGTAGTAATAATCAATAAACCAAAATGTTGTCTTTTTCTGCATTTGCACCTGCACCTCCTTACATCTCTCTTACTAATTAGATTTTTATTATCATTGATTTGAATGTATTTGTATTTTTAAACTCATGTTGTAGGGTGAAAATCGAAAGATATAAAAGATTATCTCTCTTCTCAACTTTCATCGAATACGGCTTTCTGTAGAATTTTTTATGCATCTACGAGATTGAGAATGAAGTTTTTTTACTTACTTTAAGTTGAGTATCTGCTTTCCTTCGTATCTTGTTAGAGTTAGAAATAGTGTATTTTACATATCCATAGGGCTAGGTGCTTGGATTTTCTATGTAGTGTATGATTTTCTGCAGAATTTTATATATATCTATGAGATCGAGTATATATGAAATTATGTTTACTTACTTTAAATGTGGAGTATTGGTTAAATCGTGAATTTTACATATTAATTTATGATTAGGTGCTTAGATTTCCCAAGCAATGTACGACTTTTTACAGATCGAGTATGAAGTTTTTTTACTTACTTCAAGTTGAGTATCCGCTTTCCTTCATATCTTGTTAGAGTTAGAAATAGTGTATTTTACATATCCATATGACTAGGTGCTTAGATTTTCTAAGTAGTGTACAATTTTCTGCAGAATTTTATATGCATCTATGAGATCGAGTATATATGAAATTGTGTTTACTTACTTTAAATTTGAGTATCCGTTTTCTTTCATATCTTGTTAGAATCAAAAATCGTGTATTTTACATATTAATTTATGATTAGGTGCTTAGAATTCCCAAGCAGTGTATGACTTTTTGCAAAATTTTATATGCATCTATGAGATCGAGTATGACAATTCTTGGAATTTTGTTTACTTACTATTAATTTGAGTGTCTATTTTCCTCCGTATCGTGAGAGAATTGGAAATCGTGTGTTTTACATATCCATATGATTAAGTGCTTAGATTTCCAAAATAGTTTTAAACAAAAATACTTCAAATCATTGCTATTTAATTCAGATCGGTTAAATATTTTTGCATATAACTATGAATTTCTATGTCTATCAAATCTTCAAATAATATTATCGCATTCGTACCAAATGTGAAAAATACATTACTTTTAATCAATTATCCTATGTAACAAAAGATGGGAAATTATAGGAGGAGGTGCAAGTCCAAGTGCAGGTGAATGGCATTTTGAAAAGGGAAATTTTTTTTCATGATGTTACGTTGTTAATTTTATATAGGCGATTTGTCGATAGAATCAAAATGAACTATCCTTACGAAAGAGGTAAGAAAAAAAATTGCGATATCGAGAATAAAACTTATATGTATTATATAAGTATATTATATATTGAATTTTTTTCGTTTCAGGAGGCAGCCAAAATTAAAGATTTGATTTTCATGATATTTTATTATTGGAGATTATAAAGCAAAGGTAAGAAAATTCCTTGTATATTTATGAATTAAATTAAGCATATATTATTTGAAGATATATGAATAAAAAGTCTTTTAGGGCTTTATAATGAACCTCTAAACCCTAAAAAGTTTAATGTATTATCCTTTATTTATTAAATGCTTATTTAATTTATTGATTTGCTCTTCTTTTGGGTTGTTTTAGCTCTCTTATCATTTATTTTTCATATGTTTTGAATCTATTTTATTTGTCGAAACAATTTAGAATTTAAAGTTCTTGAATTCAAGATTTTAGTTTATATTTTTGAATTTTAGATTTACAATTTAAGGTAAAAATATAAAATTCAGAGCGAAATTATTGATTTTGATACACCGTTAACTATGTTAGTAGCTGATTTAAAACATTGAATTCATAAACTTTAAATTCTTGTTATGTCTCTGCTAATAAAGCAACTTTAAAATATCGTAATAACTTATGTGTGTGTATATATATATATATATATATCCTATGAATTTTTTAAGATAAATATAAAATTTTAATTAAAATTACTAAATTCGATCGACAGAACTACGTTGGCAGCTGGAAAGATAGGAGCACCAATGAGGTAAGTAGTCTTTCATTTACCGTAAAATGAAATTTGGAATTCGATGGAAATTTTCTTGTTTTATAGTATAATGGTTAATTATTTTTAATGTTAACTAACTAAAGAATGGCATTTAATTATTCAATTTAATTTGAAGATGAGATGAATTAGTTGTGTTTTGGGAATTTTTTATAGTCCGATTGATTATCTCTACTTTTACTTTGTTAACG